ATCTAAACCCTTTAATCAATTCAAAATTACACTTAATCTTGTAAGTATAATCATATTTACTAAACCTTTAGTAAATGATGACGAATATCTTTGTTACTCTTATGGTGAACTTGATCAACACACAACTTTGTGTACTCGATCTCCTAGTCCTTCACTTGACACTTTGTCAATGAATTAGTCTAATTTCAAATATGAAATTTCTCATTCATCATGCAACCAAGTTGCATGATTCCAAGTTTCTGTCCAATTGAAACTTGGGCGATGAGAAACTCTCCCTATTTGGTAAATTCTTGACTTTCCATAACATAATAAGAAACAAATCCATTATTGCTAATAATTTTAACATCAATTTTTCATACACGCCATTGTAAGGATAAATAAATAAAATTTAAAATCAAAATTTATTTTATTGCGGAAAAATTTGTCCTTCACAATGCAACTCATTGAAAAACTTATGCGAATACATCTTTCTTAGCAATCTAATTCTAACTCTAAGTAGTAGCTCAAGAATCTAATCTTCGAGAAACGCAATCGAAATCCATTCCTTCACGGTTAGATTCTGCTCACTTCTTCCCTTAAGCTTCTTTTCTTTTCTTTGATCCTTCTAAACATCAATTGTAATCTTATCACATTATGTATTCAGAACCTAGAATGAAGCTTAAAAGAGTTAGTCAATGGATTTTACCTAAATTAGAGCCATACGTTTCGACTCTCCCATCTCTTAGATCTCTTAGGTAAATAGGGCAGCTTCGTCTCCAATGCCCCTTCTCTTGGCAATAAAAGCAAATTGACTCTTTTGGAACAACACATGGAACTACTTCAGACATCGCCTTTCTCTTATGATCAAACTTTTCGATCATTGCATGTCTTTCATTGCCATTGTCTATATCCACAGAGGTCTCGAAGGCAGATTCACCAATCAACTTTGCTTTTCTATTGCGCCAAACCATTGCTGATTCAGCAGCAATAAGCATATAGGTGAGATCTATAAGGGTCACGTCGCGGTTCATCATATAGTACTCTCTTACGAACTCACTATATGAGTTAGGAAGTGATGAAGAACCCAATCAACAGCCATCTCTTCACCGACAATGGATCCTATCATTCTTAGTCTATCAATGTGCGACTTCATCCCTAGGACGTGTGCACACACCGACTTTCCTTCTTTATGTTTACTTGCCAAAAGGGCTTGAGTGATATTGAACTTTTCAATTTTACAATCTTGTGGGTTAGGGAGAATAATTGGAGGAGGAGGAGGAAGTGAAGCATGATTTCTTGTTCCTCGATCGAATCGTGGAATATCATCTTCATGTGGAATGCTTGTTCCACGGGATTTGAGAAGACCATAGTTGTCGAACTTTGACATCGGGAGAAAAACGAATTCAAGTTAGTTGATTGATTGAGTCCTTGGTAAATCACCCAAATGAAATTCCAAGGCTAGGACCCAACACAATATCCTACAACTCGGGAGAGGGATGCCGTAACCCAAATGCAGAACATTTGAAGGTAAGTGAATGACGATTCACTAATTTCCACCATGAAAAACGAAAAAGAAATTTAAGTTTTAAATCTATGAAAACTCCTAGATCCTTTGAGATTCATTGAACATTTCAATGGCATGTTTAAATCTCGATATGCCCCTCTTGTTTGTGACTGGGATGCCGAGGATCACAAAGCGGGTGTGAATAACCATGCAAACTACATGGTGCCCTCACATGTTACAATCACCTATTCGATGTGCCGGTAAACCACACACGCTCCACCGAACTATGACAAACATTGAGTCACCCTTTGCTACCTTTGCTTAGAACCATTTAGTGTGCCGGTAAACCACACACGCTCCACTAACGTCTTCGCAAGGGCACAAAGTGTAATTTCATGGAATTGCATCAATTCACTTTTGCCTAAGTAACTAAGATTGGGAATTTGCGAAACATTTAGTTACTCTGTATTTCATTATACTTATAATGGAAGGTTTCGTCCTATCCTACCCGTTCGGCTAACGACCCTCCACTAGTCAAGAGTGCGGTGGGTAAGAGTGGATACCCATTCAATCGCCATTTTATAGGCAATTTCCTTAAACACCCCTTATAGACCAGCTTCGTGAATGAGGCCTACTAACGGTAAGACTGACTTTTACTCATACATATATAATGTTAGACTTTTAATGTTATATATAGTATAGGGTGTATTTTATACTTTTAAAATACTATATGGTTAACTTTAACAATTACACTTTTAATTCAATTAAAGGTTAACCTAAACTTTTATGGATTTATTAAACCTCTTTTAATTATACTCCTTAATTAATTAATAAAACCATAAGGGTGTGATTTGAACTTTTCAAAACATTACTAGAGTTTTAGAATTTAACATTTCTAATTAAACCTTTTAATCAACTTTTAAATTCCAAAACTTGAGGGCAAGTTTTGAAACATTTCAAAACATTAGGGTTTTAACTATTTAAATTTCAAAACAACAAAACTTTTGGGGTTCAAATTTAAACTATAAAACCTAAAGGGATAAATTGAAACTATTTCACAAGATAATTCAAATCTAAATTACAAATAATCAAACTTTATCTAATAAAACAAGTGATTATCTAAATTTTGACAATTATCTTCTATTTTGGTAAGGATAATCACATAATAATGAAAAAATTCGGATTTTATCACAAAAGCAAGTTTATGGTAATTATCCAAAACCAAAACAGGAAGAAAATCGCGAATCTGAGCTGTCAGACCCTTTGACTCGTCGAGTCTGGACCTGGACTCGTCGAGTACAGCTGACTCGGCGAGTTCACCAAGTGACTCGGCGAGTCAAACATTCAGAAACTCAAAAAATCGATTTTCAGTGCTTATTTCGATCAAATATGCATCAATACAATTGAAACCAATCTAGGCTCTGATACCACTGTTGGGTTTTGGTCATAAGACATCCTATGTGCTCATACAAACCCTAATGCTTGGATCTAGGTTTCTCTATTGTACATGCTTTGAATCCAAGACTATAAACCCTAATTCTAGCATACAAGTAATCATATTAACATGAATAGTTTAAGTACCTTGATTGTTATGTAGCAATAACAATCCCAAATCTCCTTGTATTGACTTTGGAAGGCTTAGAGTCACAAGTGTCACTCCTCTAATGGCTCACAAACACCATAAGCAAGTGGAGAAGGTATAAAGAGAGAAGTGAGAGGTTAGAATTCGTATCTAGGACCTCTTGGGAAGGGATACACGAATTCATGGCCCTAGGGGTGTTTATATAGGTGTAGAGATAGGGTTTCAGTCATTATCCTTATCTAGTTGATTATCCATTAAGCAACCAATAAGATAATCCTTGAATCCTTATCATACTCGAATTCTAAGGGATTTACACCTCAAATTCGTTCACCATATATATAAGATAATCCTTACCTTATTTTGTAACTATCACATAATTACAATTCAGCCCCTCTAGTTTAATTAATTACATTTGATCACAAAACTAATTCTTAATTAATTATTGACCAATATTAATTAAACAAATATGATTTCTCCTATAATATATTATTCTTATAACATATTAATAAATCATATTATCCTCTCTCTCTTTATTCATTTCTCCAATCAAGTTGCTTTGGTGAAGGCAACCCAAAAGGACCATGCACCATCGGGTCAAGTACATACCAAAATAGTTATGGACTTAGACACTAATCCAACATATCATCCATTGAATCATCTACATAAACATACTTTAGACCTTTTTCAGAATTCAAACATACTTGATACCTTTTTCAGAATTCAACATTGTCAAGATCTTGTACTGTCCACATAAATGAAGTGTTAAATCATTAAAAAACATAAATTGAAATATGAATCAAACAATTTGAATTAGTCCCTTTGCTGCATTAATCAGACCATTTGAAAGAAACACAGATGATCTCCATATCACTCAAAACCCCCAAATTCCACTTGAACTACAATTATAAAGCTGAGTTATCGATTCCTGTAACAAACAAAAATGGAAGGAAAAAACCCTAAGTGAAAATTAACTCGAACAGAGCTTCATGTTACTTCATTATATCAAAAATCTAATCTAACCAAGCATCAATTCACTCAAACTTTCTCATCATGAACATATGGTCACAGTTTCCTAGGGTTTTGAAATCGTTGCATTATTAAATTAATCTGCGCATTTGCCATTATTTAATATTACAACAATCAATTAGTCATTATTAGGACCGAATTTCCTCAACAAATAAACTATAGTCACTACTAGAAAAACAGCCTTTTACGACGCGCAAACCACGACACTCATTGATTTATGTTACGCAAAAAAGAGTGACATTAAAAAAGTGTCATCTCTTCATAAAATTTAAGGATTTAGGTCACGCATTAAATGACTATTTTATCCTTACACTCCAACAAACATTTTTATTTTATTTTTCTTAAGAATTTACACATTTTATGTTCCCACATATTTTATAGAATTGTACTTTTTGTAGGAAATTATAACAATGGAGGGATTGAGTACAATGGATATGGTGGGTGGGAAGATGGGCAAGGATATGGTGGTGGATGGGATGACGGGCATGGTTTTGGTGGAAGAGGGTGGGGACAAGGAAGAGGTTGTGCTGGTTACCGTGGACGTGGTGGTGGTGGTGGTTATCGTGGTGGTGCCAAGAGAATAAATTCACTTTAGGGTTTTTTGAGGGTAGTGAGAGTAATTCTGTTGTTGATGCTTATGAATTGAAGGTAAAAATATCAGCATTTCCATATTAACAAGAAGCATCTGAATTATTATTATTATCTTTGTTTGTGCAACTTATAGCTCAGGTTGAGCATATTCTTGAGAGGATATCATTAATATATGATGCTGGAAACACAGAAAAACCTTCACTGATCACAAATACCCTATTCATTGGAAGGGCACTAGCTGCAAGATCTGTTTAAACACTGCAACATTTAGGGATTACACACACACACACACACATATATATATATATATATATATATATATTGTATTTGTGTTCTAATGAAATCGGGTAGGCTGAATCTCAACGGGCGGATTTATTTGAGTATCAAAACTTTTCTGTAAGTGATTAATTAATCTTTCCTCTTTTTATTTAATAAAAAAACAGGTTGTGATGATGAACATGAACAAATAGATGATGATGAAGAAGAAGCAAACATCAGTCAGATCTTTGAAGAAGCTCATCAATTTATTGAAGTTGTTGAACAAAAAGGTGAGCTCTATTTTATTTTATTTTTTATTTTTTTTATTTAATATGTTAAGAGTTAATATCTTATTAAAACAAATCTTTTTCGAAGGGTAAGAAGGTCATTTATGTTTCCATTTGTATTCCTTTCTTCTTACTCTTCCCTCGCAAGCATGTCTTAGTCGTTGGTTACCCATTTAGACATTATATATGACAATGCTAATTATTGGTTAGGTGTTTGAGCTGTAATCTCAAATCGAGGTTGGATAATGATGAATTGAGCCCTGAACAAGTCAATAATGTTAAGGATTTCATTGATGACTATGTGGAACGAAATCAGGTCATCATATACTTTTTTCCTTTTCACATTTTCTCAATAGTTTCTTTGAGGTTCTCTCCACTATACCACCTTGTCAAATTCAGGATAAAAGAACCTTGTGGTTTTCACTTTTAACAAAGCATCTAAAAGTAAAACCACCACAAACCATTTCATCTGCAGGAGGATTTTGATGAGTTTGAGGATGTTGATATGTTATACAACACCTTATCACTAGACAAAGTAGAAGCTCTAGAAGATCTTGTTATCATGCAGCCCTTGGTCATGTGTTTGGGTGAAGGTCTAGATGGTGGTCTGAATGGTGCATGCACCAAAGCCCGCAAATGGATCTTGGATCATGGCGGTGTCACCACCATCCCATCATGGGGCAAAACATGGCTTTCTGTAATACATCAACTTTTTTTTTCCTTTTACCTTTGTGTGAGTGTATTATATAGAATATATGCTTTAGTTTATATTTGAAAAAAACTTACAAAATTTTATTTGTTTTTAGATACTTGGTGTGTGCGAATGGGAAGGAACCAACCCAATGCCACCAGAGTTCTGGCACCTTCCATCTTTACTTCCTATGTATCCAAGTTAATCTACTTGTATTCATGTCTCAAAGTGTGTATTCCAATATCAGGTATCATGATTTGTGTATTTACAAAATTTTGAAATATCTCTCATTTATTAAATTTAGCAAACATGTGGTGTTATGGTCCACCTAGCCTCGTTAAGGTAACAACATATCTGTTGTTCAAACTTCAAAACCCTACTTGCTGAATTTATATTCCATTAATTATCTAAAAACTAGTTCCAATTAGAAACCATGTCAACTTAGTCAAGTTAGCTACTCATAGATAATAGCCTTCTGGATGTATATGTCATCATATTACATCCTCCAAATACTACTTAACATATGTCTCTTTAAATCTCATATATTAGTTTTTTTGCAGCTCTCAATCTGATTTGGAAGCTAATTTGTTTAAGGTATATATATATCTGTTATCTCCATTTTAGCCATGTCTGAGTTTTTACAGTAAGCAACTTTCAAATCAAATTCATAACCATAATTATGACTTTTATGGCAATTCATTCTTTCTCATGTAGATACATATATTCTTATCTTAATACAAACTACCATATAATTTAGTAATATACCACTTTGACTTTTCTTTTTGGGTTTTGCAGGACTTACTGTAGGTTTGAAAAACTAGATTCGTGTAACTTTTGCTGCAGACCCATCTTCTCTTGAAGAAGCTCTTGATAGAGTGAAGTCTTTTTGCCAAAAGCTTTGTCATCATCAAAAGGCTATTTTTCTAGTAGCTCCTTTTGTCTACAATTGTTATATTGAATGTTTAGGATGATTTAGATAACATAACTCGTTTTCTAATACTAGAAAGAGAACCTATAATCCCAGGAATTGACAAGCCCCAGAAGGTAACAAAAAAGATAATTTATTTGATTGTATTTTAAATCAAATTATCAAATCATATATAAACTACCCAAACAATATTCAAAATTTATTTTATCGCCTCAATTTTGCAGACGAGCATTGTGTTTACATTAGAAGAAGGGCCTAGGGTCTTGTTCAATGCTTTAGTTGTGTTTGCTCTAAGGGAGATCAACTTATCAAAAGTAAGTTATTTTGTTCACCCTTTTATTTAATATTTTTGTGATTGAATGAAAGTCTTAATGAAAGTAATTGACAACCCTTTTTCTGTAAATGATGTTGTGATTGTGGGAGAGGTGTTGTGTGGTAACCTTCTCAACAACAACATTCTACTTAAGCAGGTGAGTAATCAAGATTAAGGGAGACTTGTAATCATGTTAGGCATTCCTTTCTAGTAAGAAACAGAGTTGTATGATTATTTGTTAGTTTTATAGGAATTTATAACCCTTGTTAGCAATGTATTATTTTTGTTTA